CATCCCTTGAATCTTTCTCTCTGAGTTAGGCTGCCTCCCTTGCAGCCAAATCAACATTATCATTATCTCCAGCCATATTTTCTTTGGTTGAGGATTACCCAACCTTCACTATATTATCGGGGAGATTTCTTTCCTTCCTTAACAATCACAAGTGTTTCTCAATTTTTGGTCCGTATGGTTGCACTTCTTTCCCAAAAGATCGAGTCATGCACCAATCTAACCTATAGCCTGCGCACAGTCAAAGAACACCAAGCGTAAAAAGAGAAAAATAAAATAAAAAGAAAAGTTCTTGAATTAGCACTACAAAACTATTTCAAACATTATTGATTACCAATCCCCGCCAACGGCGCCAAAATTTGACGAGCACAAAACACACACTTAAATATGCTCGCAAGTCGAATATAGTGAAATAAAATATCGTATCCACAAGGATCAAAGTTAAACAGTATTTTCGTAGTTTATAGCTCGATTTCTGTCCAAGATGGTCAACAGTTGAGAATTAGGTGATTTAAACTAAAATTAACTAAGAGTCATAACTATGACTAATGATAATCGACGCAAGTAATGAGCAAAGAAGATATCAATTGGGAGAAGATAGGGTTGATAGGATAGGTGCAAGACAAATGTTTGGGATCTAACTATAGATAATTCACTTCTAATGTTCACGTGTGTCTCTCGAATTCACTTGGTTATTAATTTAATTGTTTAATAGAAATTCCTCTCTCGATTAAGTCTCAACCTCACAAGATGATCCAATTTTAAGCACGTGAAGATATGCAAGAATTCGTAGTGGATTGGTCTTTAGGAGAACCTCTCTCGATTATCCTCCTAACTAAGTTTAATCAACAATTCAACTAGCCTCTTTTGATTACTAAGAAGAATTAATGACTTCGACCAAAAAAATAGAATACAAAAATATCACAAGTTATACCTCTCTCGATTACATTAACAAGTGAATATAGATGCAACGGTTAAAATATCCAAAACGATCCAATACATAAAAACTAGAGTTACTTATCCACACACAAGTTCAAGACACCAAATCTATCAAACCCTAAAGAGAACTACTCCATGGATATGGAGCAATTCATCACAAATATGTTCAAGTTAAAAGAAAAACATAAAATGTTCCAAACTCTTGTCTTGAGTGAGGATTGAATGATGAAATCGTTGAGCTTTTGCTTCTCCACCACCTCATTAGCTTCCTCAGGTCTAAGATGTATGAAAATTCCTCAAAATAACGTTTTTCCACATATATATACCAAGTAGGGTCGGGCCCAAAGGAAAATACCTTTTTCATACGCGAAATAGGATATTGGCTCTGTAAAAATTTCACAGGCGCGCCGCATAGTGCGACACGCCACGCGGGGCAGCAGTGAAGATCTTCAGAGAGTGTGCAAAATGAATACGCAATAGCTTTGGCTGCCGCGGCGCGCCGCGACTGTGGTGGATTCTCAGAGTACGGGTTTTTCTTGTCTTTTTGATATCCAGACGTGATTCTCGACCCCCGAACACGATCCCGGTTTATCCCTTGGGCTTTAAATCCGACTTGAAAGCTCCAAATCACTCGAATTCATTCCATAACATCTACATGGATTGGAATCATTCCTACAAGGCATAAAACACATAATTACAACAAAACACTAGCAATTGAAGCTCAAACATAATTAAAGTGCAGTAAATTAGAGTGCAATAAGCGACTAAAACATGAGATTATAACGTACCATCAACACCCCACATTTAAACCATTGCTCGTCCTCGAGCAATCAAACTATACCTTATAAATACATGAACTTTTTAAACAATTCCCCTGACTCATCACACCAAGAATATTAAAAATAGACTAAGCACAATAGTGTAACATCTTCAACTCCAGATTTGACTCACAAGCACCACACATTATTCATAGCCCGCTCACTTACACTAACATAGAGATCAATGACATTACCTTTCCTTCTTGAATCAAGTGCCCTCACACAACAATAGAGGGTAGTTCCACACTCAAAAAAATTCAAGCACAATTAGGAACTCAACATAGAACAAATTCGCTCACTCTCAAAAACAACATTCATATGGCACCAAAAGATGAACCATAGGCTTGCCCGTAGTGTACTACTCTACTTATTCGAGCTCATTCAGCCAAGGATCAAGTAGGACTTTAACTGGTCTTAATGTAGGTTGCGGGATGGAAAGGATACAATTAGATATAAGAGTGACTACACCTCCCTAAGCGCTTTAATACATACACTTTTACATTCAAAACCTCACACTTATTTCAAACCAAAATTCCACCTTCACATCAATATACATCAACTCCCAAATTATTTAAGCACAATTACATCAAGAGTCACCACCATCAAAGAATATTTTGCACAACAATACAACTATCTTTTTTCTTTTTCAATTCAAGTGGCTCTCACTTTTTAAAACAATGCACCTTTCTCCTTATTTCACTAGTTCCACTCAAAAGCCAAACCAACCACCCCACACTTCCACTTTTACAAAGATCATAACAATTTCAAGTGCTCACGAAAGGTGCAAGGTTCATATAGATGGTTAATTCAAAAAATACGGGTAAGGCTTGTAATGTGGTTGCCAAAGAAAATAGGATTAATGGCTCAAAAGGGGTTAACTACGATGTATAACAATTAGGTGGGTAAAAGCATATAACTGGCTCAACAAAGAAATGCCTATATCACTTCCTAAACTGAATAAAACTACTATTTCGCTTCGCAAACATACAGGGCAAGTTCTAGACATCAAATACAATGCACAGAATACACCAAACCTCGCACACACTTGGCACATAACTCACCTAGGATCGGACTCAACAAGACACTCTAGTCAAAGCAGTTAAGCAAAGTTACAATCATAGAATTTAAGGTACTTATACAAGAGCAAAAAACTGACCCTAAGCGGCATAGCTAAAGAACTCACCATTCTCAAGGTATAAACAAAGTTAAGAGATATTGCTTCAATTCAAACCATAGCACAAGGTTTTCTACTCCTAACACAAATAAAAACTAAATACATTCGGTTCAAACAAAACTCTTGGAAAAGAACCGCGGCCCAAAGAAAAACCAAGGGGATTGTTACATTACCTAACAAAAGAAAATCTTTCTGTCCTTTTCTTTCGACTTTACTCCCTCAAGAAACCCGTCGATATGATATTCATCATCGGGAATAGTCAAAAAATTTAAATTTTTGTATGGTCTTTCAATTTTTTTCTGACTACTAAAAAGCAAAAACTAACACATATACATACAACATCCAATTATCCCCCACCGCAAACTTTAAGTTGTGGCATGTCCTCATGACACACAATTAAAAAGCATAAGGTAGAGGAAACTTCCCTGAATCTCTAGTCGGGGTCTGAATTAAAGTCGGGCGTCCATTCCACGCGCCCGAACTAGAGCACACATCCATGTAGCCAACTTCTTCTCAACCTTCTTGGGTACACCCCATACATATCTTTCTCAATAATTGTAGCCTTCTCCTTCACAAAATTCACCTTCCATTCAACACTTGCAGCTAGTTTCTCTCTTTTCACCACCTTTTCTACATTCATCTCAAAAGTCACCGTCTCCTCGCCCACTCTAAGCATGAGTTTTCTCTCGTGTATATCTAAAGTTGCTCTACCCGTTTCTAAGAACGGTCTTCCTAGGATTAGGGGTATCTCCTTGTTCTCCTCCATTTTCATCACTATAAAGTCTACATGAAATACTAACTTATCCATCTGCACTAAGACATCTTCAACTATCCCCTTGGGTATTATCTTTGTTTGATCTGCCAGCTGCAACGATATTGGTGCAGACCTTATCTTTCCAATCTTTGTCTCCAGTTTCCTATAAATATACAAAGACATTAGATTAATTGAGGCACCAGAATCACATAAAGATTTATCGAACTTAAGAGTGCCTAAAGAGCATGGTATCGTAAAACTCCCTGGATCTCCACACTTTTGTGGGAGTTTGTTTTTTAATATTGCACTGTAATGCGCTATGAGCTTGACTACTAATGTCTCCTTTATCTTCCTCTTCTTTGTAAGGATCTACTTCAAGAACTTTGCATAAGCTGGCATTTGAGAGAGAACTTCTGTGAATGGCAAATTTACATTAACATGCCTCAGCATATCTAGAAATCTCTAAAACTGCATGTCTAACTTTTTTCGATATAGCTTTTGAGGAAATGGTAGAGTAGGCATATGCTCTCTCACATCATTTTCCTCCCTTCTTGAAGCTTCCTCCTTTTTTTCTTGTCAGCTCCCTTCTTGCCTTTCTTCTTCTTATCATCTTCCATTTTAACTCCTTCCCACTTTCTTTTTTAGGTGTCACCTCTTCTTGGACTGGAGTGGGTTCTTTCAACACTTGACCGCTTCTCAAGGTCACAACATTTACTATTCCTTTGGGATTCTTATCACTATCAGCTGGTAAAGTAACTGGGATTCTCTAAGAGATTATAGTTGCAATCTGTCCCACTTCCCTCTCCAAGCTTTGCAAACATGTGCCATGTTCTTTGATGTCTGCACCATGAGGATCTAATCTCTCATCTATCTTGACAATGAAGGACTTCATAAGATCCTCTAACCTATACTGATTTGATTGTTGAGACTGAAATTGCGGCCTCGGATGATTTACAAAACCAGGAGCTCTTTGTCCCTGAAATCTGGTATTGTTTTGTTGCCATACATTTGTTGTAACCCCAGGTGAACTCCTTGAATAAATGAGGTGCTTCTGACCCATTGCATTGAAGTTATAATTACCCACAACATTCACTTCCTCCATTGAAGCTTGACACTCGTGAGTAGGGTATCCTCGTCCACATATATCACAGGCTGCATGAGGCTCACTATGTATCGAGGCTAAGGTTAGCTTCCTTAATCTTTAGCCATGGCATCAAGCTGTACATGCACAAATTTATTAGTATCAACTTGGTGAACCCTAGTTGATCTTCTTCTTTCAGCAATCTCATAGGGCCACTGATTTGCATCTTCAAATAACTCATCTAGAATTGTGACTATCTCCTCTAGAGTCTATTTCATCAACGGGCCTCCTGCTGCATTGTTCAATGTTCTGCATGAGGCCGGTGTCAAACCATCCCAAAAGTCTTGGAGTTGCATCTAGATGAAGCTTGAAGATATCCAGAACTGTAACAACAGGATTGCTGCCTCCAATATCTGCCTCTCCTTTTTCCGTTGCCTCAAGGCCTTCTTTTGCAGCTTTCTTTTGCTTCTTTCTACTGACTCTTCTTTTCGATTTGCGTTTAGATTCAAATTCGTCCAGCACACAGAATATTTTCACCATCTTCCCTGCAACTTGACAAGCCAGTAGGTTTCCAAACTTGTTATACCTCACTGTTGCAACTCTATCCTTGCTTTGGCGTTGAAGTTTACCAAATGGCTTGAGTATTTCCCATTTGTTTTCAGTAGGCAAGTCCTTATTTGCACTTGTTTCACTTTCGTTAGCAATCAATTGTCCATCAGCTAAATCAAGCTTTATAGTGTAGAAGCGAAGCTCGGGGTCAGCAAAACCAGTGACTAGATATCTTTCCTCAGGATCAATATCTATGGACCAAATTTCAGTATGATGGCTACCTATAATCTGCATGCAATGTTGAGTATCAAGATCCCGTACCCTTAAAAATTTGTCCTTAGAAGCTGTTACCAGTTTCTTGCCAGAATCTACGAAAACAAGATCAGTAACCTGCAGCAGCATATGTCAATTAATGGAACATAATTAGACACATGATGAAGTTAGAAATGAAAAATACGCTAATCATGCCTAGATTGAAGATAGTATGAACCTGATCATAATGTCCCTGAAGGCGAAACAGGCCAGTCTCACCCACGACATCCCATAAAATAATGTCATTATCTTTGCTTCCAGATGCTAGTAATGATCCAAGCTTACTGTATCGAAGGGCCGTCACAGTCCCTTTATGCCCATTCAGTATGGTTTCACATATCCCTTTCTCGGAATCCCAGATTCTAATGCTTCCTTCAGCATAACCACTGTCTATCTACAATTAAGTCCAATTTATCACTAGAAAAACCATGAAAACAAATCTCAAGTTTCAGAACCTTTTCCTATGAAATAACCACTATAAGAAAGAAATATATTAAGCCTGACCCACAAACAGAGCACACCAGAACTGTAACAATAGGATTGAAAGATGTTAATTATCTCCTCGAGCCTGACCCACAAACCATCCCGCTTTGTTGACACTTTTTGACTATCTTTTTAAACCTCTCCCAAGCTTCAAACATAGTTTTCGTCTCATTCTGACAGAAGTTATGAATGTCTCTTCTATACATGATCGTCTTAGCCGAAGAGAAATATTTAGCAAGAAATTTTCTGGTCATCTTCTCCCATGTTCTAATTGATCCCTGGGGCAAGCTTCGAAGCTAGTGCTTTGCATCATCTTTGAGTGTGAAGAGGAATGCCCTTAAGTAAACTACATCTTGTGAAACACCATTATATTGAAAGATGTTCATTATCTCCTCAAAGTGCATTAGACGATTGTTTGGATCTTTGTTGTGCTTTCCTCTAAAGACACAATAATTTTGAAGGGTTTGGAGCAACCCTTGCTTCAATTCGAAATTATTGGCTGCAATTGGAGGTAGTCTAACACTCGACAAGCCTTAGTTGTAGACCGGTCTGGCATAATCGCCAAGTGGTCTCCCTTGGTCGGGAGCTATGTTTCCGAACTGGTATGCACCCAAAGGATGATTCTGAGCCATTCTTTGAGCCCTCTCCGTAGGCAATTTATGCATCTCTAAGTGCTGCTTCTTCAACATCCCTTGCAGCTTTCTCTCTGGGGGGGCTGCCTCCATTGTAGCCAAATCAACATTATCATCATCTCCAGTCATATTTTCGTTTGTTGAGGATTGGCCAACCTTCTCTGTATTATCGGGGAGATTTTTATCCTTCCTCAACTGTCCCAAGTGTTTCTCAATTTTAGGTTCGTATGGTTGCACTTCTTTTCCAGAAGATCGAGTCATGCACCAATCTAACCTATAGCCTGCGCACAATCAAAGAACACCAAGCGTAAAAAGAGACAAATTAAATAAAAAGAAAATCCTGAATTAGCTCTAAAAACTATTTCAAACACTATTGATTGTCCATCCTCGGCAATGGCGCCAAAATTTGACGAGCACAAAACACACACTTAAATATGCTCGCTAGTCGAATATAGTAAATTAACATATCGTATCTACAGGGATTGGAGTTAAACAGTATTTTCGTAGTTTATAGGTCGATTTCTATCCAAGATGATCAATAGTTGAAAATTATGTGATTTAAACAAAAATTAAGTAAGAGTCTAAACTATTGAATAATGACAATAGACGCAAGTAATGAGCAAAGAAGATATCAATTGGGAGAAGATAGGGTTGATGGGATAGGTGCAAGATAAATGTTTGGGATCTAACTCTTGATAATTCACTTCTAATGTTCAAGTGAGTCTCTCAAATTCACTTGGTTATTAATTCAATTGTTTAGTAGAAACTCCCCTCTTAATTAAGTCTCAACCTCACAAAATCAACCAATTTTAAGCACGTGAAGATATGCAAGAATTCGTAGTGGATTGGTCTTTAGGAGAACCTCTCTCGATTATCCTCCTAACTAAGTTTAATGAACAATTCAATTAGCCTCTTCCTATTACTAAGAAGAATTAATGACTTCAACCAGCAAAATAGAATGCAAAAATATCACAAGTTTTGCCTCTCTCGATTACATTAACAAGTGAATATAGATGCAACGATTAAAACATCCAAAATGATTCAATACATAAAAACTAAACTTAATTATCCACAAACAAGTATCAAGATACCAAATCCATCAAACCCTAAAGAGAACTACTCTATTGATGTGGAGAAATTCATCACAAATATGTTCAATTTAAAGGAAAACATAAAATGATCCAAACTCTTGTCTTGAGTGAGGAATGAAATGATGAAATCCTTAAGCTTTTTCTTCTCATCCACCTCCTTGGATTGCTTAGGTGTAAGATGTATCAAAAGTCCTCAAAATAACGTTTTTCCACGTATATATACCAAGTAGGTTCAGGCCCAAATGAAAACACTTTTTCCTACGCGAAATAGGACATTGGCTCTGTAAAAATTGCACAGGCGCGCCGCATGGGAGACACGCCACTCGGAGAAGCAATGGAGATCTTCAGAGAGTGCAAAATCAACAAGCAGCAGTTTTGGGTAGCTGCGGTGCCCCACACGCCGCGGCTGTGGTGGATTCTCAGAGTACGGATTTTTCTTTACTTTTTAATATCCAGACATGGTTCTCGACCCCCGAGTGCGATCCCGGCTTAATACCTTGGGCTTGTACTCAGACATCTTCATAGCTCGGAATCATTCTTACAAGGCATAAAACACACAATTAGTGCAAAACACTAGCAATTGAAGCTCAAACTTCATTAAAGTTCAGTAAATTGGAGAGCAATAAGAGACTAAAACACGAGATTATAGCCTACCATGAATGCTAGAGCTTAATAGTTACTATCAAGCATAGTCATAGGTGTAGTGTGTTGTGAATGCATAGCTTGTTAGGTCCTTGAAGAGGAAGTGTTTGGTTGGTTGACTCGAGGGCGAGCAACATTTAAGCGTGGGGTGTTGATGTCGTGCTATAATTTCATTTATTTTGACGTTATTTACCTTACTTCCATGTTGTTTGGATGCAAATTTGTGTGACAATTAAGCTTAATAGAGCTTTTTCACATGTAGGAATGCTTGGACATGAATTGGAGAAAAGTTGCACGAAATGGTAGTTCAGAGCTACAAAATGGAACAGTAAAAGAAGACGTGAAAGGAAATGAAAAGTCATGGTCATAGACAGTGCTAGGCCTTGTTCAGGGAACTGTTATTGGCGCCCCTGACAGTGCCTCGTGCAAAAACATTAGCGCCGCTGATAGCGTGCAGAAATGTTGGCGCCGTTGACAGTGCCTCGCGCCGACGATGCTATGCGAGCCAATTTTAATTTCTCACCAGCTTTGGACATTTAGACTTCATCCCCAACCCTATTAATACCTATTAAAGTTAGTTTTTTAGAGGAGAGACATCATTAGAGAGGGTACTCGACTCAAGGAGGCAAGAACACGCTAGGAGCAAGGGGGAGAATTCTTCTACGAGTTTTTCACTTCCTTCTTCCTATTTTCACTATTGGCTATGAATTCTAGTACTGTAGTTTTGCATACTATTATGAATAGATAATTCGTCATCTAGAGTTTTGATGGAACCTTTTGTAAGATAAGTTCTCGTTATGTTTTTTTATAATTGAACCGTTAGATTTCTATACTTGTTCAACTACGTGTTTACTGCTGCTGACTGAATGGCCATCAATTGTCTGTGCCTATTTAGTATGTATTGTTTGAGAGATGATACATATGTAGGTAGTTGTTGAACAACATCACTCCTAACATATGTGAGATTAATACGGAGGGCTTAAAGCCAGGATTAGAGATATCAAAACCTTGTTGCGATCGTAGTGAGCGGTGAATTAGTGCCAGCTAGTGTAGTTCGAGAGAATATATCTAGTAAATTGTGGTAGTTGCTCGAGAGAGAATTACGACGCCAGAAGTACTCACGATCGGTAGAGAATACTTAGGCGAAATTATAGAAGACGTAGAGGTTAGGATTCCGACAATTGGGAAAATCATAACTCTAGACTTCCTTAATTTTTTCTTCAACCTTTAGTATCCCTAGTTATTAATTTACTACTTTAATTTGTTAGTTAATTAGTTAGACATAAAAATCTTAATGATTATAATTTTGAATTGTTTGAGCTTGTCTTTTTAGTGATATTGAACAGTTATAGTGAAACCATAGTTCTCTGTGGGATTCGACTCTGGACTTTTAGACCGGATTATATTTGCAGCGACCGCTTATCCTTTTTAGGACTAGAGTTGGGAGTGATCATTCTAATAACATAATAAATAGAAAATTGTGTACCTTCTTCCTCCCAGACTAGGACACCACTTTCGGCCACCTCCAAAACTACCAAAGAGGTACAGCTGTTCATCTACCATCGGGGTGTGCAGCAAAGGGGGGCTGGACATGTATTGCTTGAGTGCCTCAAAAGCTTGCTGGCATTCCAGAGTCCAAGAAAAATTGTTCTTATTTTTTAGTAGTGAGAAGAATCGATGGCTCTTACCGAAGATCTCGAGATGATCCAGCCCAACACGACTATCCACCTGGTAAAACTTTGAACCACCTTCACATTGTCGACTACGGTGATGTCTACTATGGCCTTTTTTTTATCGGGGTTGATTTCAATCCCCCGATTAGACACCATGTACCCGAGAAACTTGCCAGAACCGACCCTAAATGCACACTTCTCCAGGTTTAGCTTCATGTTGTATTTCCTTAATATGTCAAATGTTTCCTGCAAATGTATCAAATGGTCCTCTGCTCGCAGGGATGTGACAAATATGTCGTCAATATAAACTTCCATTGATTTTCCTTTTTGTTCTTCGAACATCCAATTTACTATGCGTTGGTATGTGGCACCATCGTTATTTAATCTAAACGGCATTACGTTATAGCGGTAAGTGCCAAACTTTGTTATGAAAGAAGTCTTTTCTTAATCGCCTCGGTACATCTTAATTTTGTTGTACCCGGAATAGGCATCGAGAAAACTAAGTATCTCGTGTCTGGCCATCGCGTCGATCATTCGATTGGTGTTAGGCAAAGGAAAAGAATCCTTTGACATGCCTTGTTTAGGTCCTTATAATCTACACACATCCTTAGTTTATTTCCTTTTATAGGTACTACCACTACGTTAGTTAACCAATCCGGGTATTTAACTTCCTGGATGGAACCTATTTTTAGAAGTTTGGATACTTCATCCTTGATGAACGCATGTTTGACCTCGGACTGTGGCCTTCTCTTCTGCTTGACCAGATGGAACTTCGGATCCAAAATCAACTTGTGAGTGGTTACCTCTGGTGGGATCCCTATCATGTCTAGATGGGACTAGGCAAAACAATTAGCGTTAGCTTTAAGAAAATCAATAAGTTTTTCCTAAGCTCGGAGGATAACCCCGTGCCCAGGTATACCTTTTGATCCGATCGATGCTCGACTAATATAACCTGCTTCAACTCCTCGATCGTTGATTTGGTGGCATCGGTGTCATCAGGTGGTATGAAAGATCTCGGGACATTGTATTCGTCCTCATTATCCGCTCCTTGTTCTTTCTGTTTCTCCGGTTTAGTCGAGGCTAGTGTCATTGATTGCTATTTAGTTTTTTCTTTCTCAGTTTGTTCTGCGCTTCTTGATGTTGAGACCGTGGGCACCGGGACCACTTTTTCAACAGCAAACATTTCCCTTGCGGCCTGTTGTTCTCTATAGACCGTTTACTCCCCCTGGCGTCGGAAATTTCAGCGCCTGGTGTAAGGTCGAGTGTACTGCCCTCATGTTGTGGACCCGTGGCCTTTCGAACAAAGCGTTGTACCTCATATCCCCTTCGATTACGTAGAACTTTGTTTCTTGGGCTGTCCCGGTAGTGTTTACCGGCAAAGTTATCTCTCTTTTCGTGGTCTCACACGCCATGTTGAATCCATTCAATACCCAGACCACCAGTACAATTTGATCCTCCAACCTTAGTTACTCTACTACCCTTGATCTGATGATGTTAGACGAGCTACTTGCATCAATAACCACACGTTTAACCCGATCTTTAATGTTAAGGTATAGATATTACCAGTGCATCATTGTGGGGATGTACGATGCCCTCAGCATCTTCGTCCCTGAACGAGATAGCTCCCTCCGGAGAATAATCCCGGGAGCGTTTTTCCCTCGTAATAGACACTTTAGTGTTTATATTCTTGGTCCTTGGGGGACATAGACTCCCCAAATGATCATGTTGATTACGGGCTGAAGCCTCTTTTGTTCGACCTTTTTGTTGGCGTCCCTGTTTCTAAAGTGATTTTTGGCTCGCTCGCTTAGGAATTCTTGGAGGTGCCCGTTGTTGAACAATCGAGCAACGTCTTCCCTTAATTGTGGGCAATCTTCGGTCCTCCGACCGTGAGTGTCGTGATACATAGAAATCAAACTACGATCTCTCTAGGCAGGGTCGGACTACAATGGTCGGCACCACTTGGTCTCTTATATGTGCCATATGGCCGAAACGATGCTTGCATCGTCCACGTTGAAATTGTACTTCAATAATATTGGTGTTTCCTTACTTTCGAGTGACCTGTCAAACCCGCCCTTGCTCATCAGGCCCTGTCCACTCGGCCCTCAATCACTTCTCTTCTCGTTCCTAGTTGGGTGGCGCCCGGATCCGTTTCCCCTCCGATCCGCGTTCTATGGCTGATATCGTTCTCGGACCAGCCTTAGCTCCTGATCAATGGCTCTCTTAGATCTACCATGGGTTCTGATGGGGTAAACAGATCCAGAGGGGGCCACGAGTTGGTCGTCTTCGACCCTGATCTTCGATTGGTACATGTAGTGGACGCCGGCCCAGGTTACCGTCGGGTACTCCACCAAATTTTGCTTTAGCTGTTGATAGGCCATGGAACTTCGGGTATTGAACCCCTGAGTGTATGCCTGAATGGCCCAATCATCCATAACTGGTGGCATATCAGTCTGTTCCATCTAGAATCTTGACACGAACTCCCTGAATATCTCGTTATCCCCTTGTTTGACCTTGAAAATATCTACTTTTCTGGTCTCGACCTTGACGGCTTCGGCATAGGCCTTTACGAAAGTATATGGAAGCATAGCTATCACGACCCAAAATCCCTCGGAAGGAGTCGTGATGGCACCTAGTCTCTTAAACTAGGTAAGCCTAATGTTAACAGAAATAATGACACTATTTGCTAACATCGAACAATTTCGAAATAAAAATCTCTGTACAATTTACAATCCCAAAACCGGTATTACAAGTCATAAGCCTTTCTAGGAGTTGTTATACATAATGAATACATCACTGTTCCGGAACAAAAGGAAACAATGGAAATAAATACAACATAATGTGACTTCGGTGCCTGGGAAGGCCCAACAGGTGTACCTTGAAGTCTCCAGCCACACCAAGCATAAGTTACAAAACAAATCCGATCCGAAGTACCTGGTGCTGCACAAAAAGATGTGCAGAAGTGTAGTATGAGTACACCATGGTGGTACCCTATAAATATCAAGCCTAACCTCGGAAGAGTAGTGACGAGGTTAGGTCAAGACACTACCGAATATTTAACCTGCAGGATATGACTTAAATCTAACAAGAGAGGACTATCAGGGTAATACCAATAACAGAAGGTTATCAAATTACAAACAGTACTAACGATAAGAGGAAAACACGAATGACAACGAGAATTAACCAAGTAATTAAACATTAACATAGCTGGAGTCCAAATGAAGCATAAATGAGTTCAAGTAGGGAAAACGATGTTAACTCAACCAATTGAATCGTTTCTAATACACAATTCCAACAATCCCAATCCTCGTAATCTCATATCATAATCACAACTTCCAAACCTTTAACACACATGACACCTTGTGCCCACATATTTTCGTCTCACTTTCCACAGCAAAATCCATGTGCTACTCAGTACATAATATCCGTGTCACATGCTAATTAAGGTGTCCAAGAGATTTTTACTTATATATCATAAAGTAATAGTACAGTATGTAGACCAAGTAGGAAATCAGTGAGAAAGATAGGTTTATTTTAGAAATTATTTGAGTGAAGAAGAATAATATTTCCAAACAAAATACAACATCCAATAAGCTATTGAAGATAACATAGGGTTTATTAAATTAAGACATAATAAAGATCCGTTTTTAAGTCAAATAAAAATCCTAGCCAGGTTAAGGATATTAAATTGAGAAATTAATTGAAGTAAAATGTAACAACTATTAGAAATACTAAATACCAAAATATACGGCGAGTCTTAACCTAGAAGTCACACAAGTTAGCATGATATTAATTCTTTTATTTTAAATCACTATATTACACACATCTAAGATGGGCAGGATGTAATGACTTAATGTAGTAAATTCACTTTGAAAATCAATTCACCAGAATAATAGTATTAGGAAAAGAGCTCAGGAAATGACGGCAAGGCAATAGGTGAATGATAATAACTCGATCATCAGAACACAATGACAACCAAAAATATAGATTATCAGAGTCTTGTACGAAGGAACTGAAGCCAATACAGTAAAACAGGGGATACAAAAATACAAGATATGTTGTGGCGCGCAACCGGATCCCACCATATAATATCAATATCATAAGTCACCCTTATTCCACCATAAATTCACCCTTATTTCACCTGTTGTGGCGTGCAACCCGATCCCACCGTACAATATCGATATCATAACAATAAACATAATATGTTGCGGCGCGCAACCCGATCCCACCATACAATATCAATATCACAATTCACCCATATTTCACCATAACAATCAACCCTTATTTCACTAGTTGTGGCGTGCAACCCGATCCCACCGTACAATAACAATATCACAATATGAGTATCCTCCCTTATTCCACATGTTGCAGCGTGCAATCCGATCCCCTGTACAATAACTTAAATCAACAACAACAATTTAATAACTAATATTACCAGAATCTCTACAATCAAGGGTATGAGTACACGGCAACAAGGGAATCACGTGAAATCAAAGGAGTACAACAACCTTTACAAAATGACAAGACATGTAAGGCACGTGATAACTAAGCATGCAATCACAACAATTTGGACATGTAGCAGATATACATATAGTCATAGAATAACTCAACAATTAAGAGGTAACAAGACAATAAGGAAGGCAATAATTTCAACCAAGGCATATAAGGGCCAAATAACGAGTAAGAGGTAAGTAAGTGCTAACAACATCAAATAGAGCATGTAAAAGTAGTCTAACAACGCGATACCACATGTTATGACCATTTAATCAAAAGCATGGAAAGAGACTAGACAATCTAAATCGGTCAATACTACACATAGGCTTTGTACCCACTCGTCACCATGCGTACACGGATTTCACATAACAAGATAAAACAATTAACACAATTCCTAAGGGGTGGTTTCCCCCACACAAAGTTAGACAAGACACTTACCTCAATTCGGCCAACTCAATACTCAATATAGCTTTTCCTTTACCAATTCACCATCGCTCGGCCCAATCTATCCAAAGAAGACGTTAACACATCAAACAATGCAATAGAAAACAATTTCAATTAACAAAGCTATGATGCTTATACAATTTGCAAAAAGCTAACAAAAGTCAACACCCCGGGCCCGTACCTCGGAACCCGATAAAATTTACAAAACCTGAACACCATTCAATTACGTGTCCAACCATACTAGTTTTACTCAAATCCGACTCCGAATCGATATTCAAAACTCAAAAATTCACTTTATGAAATTTTAGACAAAACCCTCAAATTTCACTTTGAAATCATCAATCAAATGCCTAAACCGAAGATGAATTAATGAAATATAACAAAAATCGAATATAGAACACTTACCAATCCATATAGTTAAAATCACCTCCGAAAATTGTCCAAATCCGAGCTCCCAACTCAAAATATGACCAAATGAACAAACTTTCGATATTATGTATTTTTGCCCAGCTGTTCTGCGTTGTTTTGCAAGCCAAATTATCCCGAAACTCACTTTTGATGTCTCCAACGTATTTCTCGTGAAATTTTAGTTAGGCTTTTGAATCACTCCATTTGGCCTTATAATGAAAGAGATATGTTGGTTTTAATATTTGGAAATAGTGTAATTTTTAAATACGAAGACAGTGGCAATTTCGTAATTAATCTGAAAAATCTGGCAGCCCAATTCTTTGTAAAATGACCATAAAATACTCATACGATGTCCAAATTTGACGATTCTTTTTGCTATGGCTCCTTAATTACGATACGGATCTAGTGTTTCAATCAAAACAAAAATCGGAGATCATTTGTTTAATATGGTACCATTTATGCTTGAAGAAACGACGTCGAAACATAAGAAAAATGAGCGCAACACAGCCCAAACCTATACGAAACTCACCCGAGCCCCTCGGGACCCCGTACGAACATACAAACAAGTCCCATAACAAAACACGGGCCTACTCGAGTCCTAAAATCACACATAACAACATCGAAACGACGAAACTCACCTCAAATCAAACTTAATGAACTTTCGAAATTTTGACTTCCAAAAACTTGCACCAAAACATATCAATTCAACTCGGAATGAACTCAAATATTGCACACAATTCCTAATAC